CAATGACACTCCTCGTCTTGGGTCTTCCAAATTAACATAATAAGGCTTCAAATTACTTACATAGAAGACTGAATGAATCTTAAGCCTTAGAGGTAATTGCACCTGATAGGAAACTTTTTCAACCCTCTTTGTGATGGAAAAAGGTCCTTCATATTTTCGCACCAATCCTTTATGCACTTTTCTTAGGGACTAGAACTGTTGAGGCAATAGTTTGACAAGCACCAAGTCCCCCACTTGGAATTCCACCGCTCGTCTCTTCTTGTCAACCCATTTCATTTTCTTAGCCGCCTTGTCTAAGTAGGCTCGTGCCACATCAGCTTGTTCTTACCCACCTTTAGCAAACTTGAATGCTGCAGGACTCTTTCCCGTATAGCCAGACATCACCGTGTGTGGTGTTAGTGGTTGCTGCCCAATAACTAGCTCAAATGGGCTGTGATTGATGGATTCATTTCGCTACAGGTTGTAAGAGAATTAGGTTGCATCCAGTAATTTAGCCCAATCTCGCTAATTGACACTGACAAAGTGCCTTAAGTAGAGCTCTAGCAAAGCATTCACCCGTTCAATTTGGTTGTCAGTTTGCGGGTGAAAGCTTGTAAAGAAATGTAAGTCTGACCCCAGCATTTTGAATAGCTCGGTTCAAAATCGTCCTGTAAAGCGAGGATCCCGGTCACTATTGATGGACCTAGGCACACCCCAATACTTTACCACATGTTTTGTGAATAACCGAGCCGCCTTCTCTGTTGTGCAATCTATTTGGGCTGCTATGAATGTAACATACTAAGAAAACCTGTCAACCACCACCATAATAGAGCTGCACCCTTCCGACTTAGGCAAGGCTGAGATGAAGTCCATGGTGACACTCTCTCAAGGCTCTTAGCTATAAGCAATGGCTCTAGCAAACCTCCAAGTGCTTGCTGCTCTACCTTGTCTTGTTGACACACAAGACAAGTCTTCACGTATGCCTCCACATCATCCCACATCCTCGGCCAATAATAAGCTGATTCTAGCAATACTCTCGTATGCTTTTGTCCCGAGTGACCAGCTCACTTAGTGTCATGACATTCCCTGATTAAGTTCCTCCGCAAGTTTCCCTACTTTGGAACATAGCGGCGTTTCCCCTTAGTGTAAAGTAGGCCATCCTCTACCCAAAACATTTAGTCTTTCCATCTTTTGCCAACCCACTCAGGTTCTTGGCAAGAGGATCATACTGCAACCCCTCTTTGAAGACTTCAATTAATTCACCTTGAGGCCTGCTACTCATAGCAGATAATTCTGCCTTGCGACTTAACGCGTCCGCTACAAGGTTTGCCTTCCCCGACTTGTACTCCAAGATGTAGTCGAATTCTGCCAAGAAGTCTTACCATCTAGCTTGTTTTGGGCTTAACTTCTTCTTGGACTGGAAGTAACTAGTGACAACATTATCTGTCTTGACTACAAACTTAGAGCCCAACAGGTAATGTCTCCCGTCATTTCCTTCTCTTGCACCATGTACCTCCGCTCGGTGTCATTAAGCTTGCGACTTTCATAGGCAATAGGATGCCTATCCTGCATGAGCACACCTCTAATGGCAAAGTCAAAAGCATCTGTGTATACCTCGTAAGGCTTAGTGTGGTCGGTAGCCCCAATACTGGCTCCTTTGTCACTGTCTTCTTCAAGTCTTCAAAGGCATTTTGGCATTTCTTTGACCATTCTCATGCCTTGTTCTTCTTTAGGAGGTCCATAGTGGTGCTGCCCTTGCTAAATATCCCTTTATGAACCACCAATAATAATTGACAAGGCCAAGGAATGACCTTAGATCTGTCACTTTGGTAGAAGCCTCTCATTCTTGTATGGTCCTCACCTTGTCCTCCTCCATCATAAGCATCCCGTCCTTGATCTTGTGCCCCAAGAATGATACCTCATTCGTTGCAAAGGAGCATTTCTCCTTCTTCACATAGAGCTCATTATCTTTTAGCACTTTAAACACCATTCGTAGATGATCTACATGGTCTTCCAAAGTGTTGCTATAGCCCATGATGTCGTTCAAGTAGACCACTACGAATCGATCCAAGTAATGATGAAAGATCTTATTCATGAGAGTGCAAAATGTGACTAGGGCATTAGTGAGGCCAAATGGCATCACTAAGAACTCAAATGAGTCATATCGAGTAGTGCAAGTAGTCTTTGACTCATCCCCAACTGCTATCCTTACTCGGTAGTAGCCAGATCTTAAGTCTAGCTTAGAGAAATATTGAGCTCTACCAAGCTGATCAAACAAATCAACAATCAAAGGGATAGGATACTTGTTCTTGATGGTTACCTTGTTAAGTGCCCGATAGTCAATGCATAGGCAAAGAGAACCGTCCTTTTTCTTTTGGAATAGCACCAGAGCACCATAAGGAACTTTGGACGGTTGAATGTAGCCAGCATCCAACAAGTCTTTCAGTTACCTCCTTAATTCCTCCAACTTAGGTGGTGCCATCCTATAAGGCGCTTTGGCAGGTGGTGTTGTGCCTGGCTCCAACTCGATCTTGTGATCTACCTCCCTCCTAGGTGGTAGTTTCTTTGGTAGCTTCTTTGGTAGCTCGGGCAGCATCACCTCTTTGTACTCATGGAGTACCTTCTCAATCTCCTTGGGTATTAACCCCTTGGGCACATCCTCTTTTTCTTCAGCCATGGTTGCAAGGTAAGTCACCTCTCCTTTCTTGAAGCCTTTCTTTACTTGCATAACTAAGAGAAACGGTTTTTGGACCCTTTTTGTGGCACCGATTGTACCGCATAAGATATGTTCTCTTCCAAGATTGCCATGGAGCATAGGAGTGGTATTGATATTGCCTTGACTTTGCCCAAGAAGTCCATGTCTATGATAACTTAGAAGTCATCCATAGGTGCCACTGTAAGGTCGATCTTGCCCTTTCATCTACCAAGGTTGATGTCTATCCCACACGCTACTCCATGCAAGGGTTTTGCCTCTGAGTTGACAGCCTTGAGCCATCCAGACTCTTTGCTAGTCTTTAATTCCAACCTTCTTGCCTCTTCCACAGAGACAAAGTTGTGGGTAGCTCCCACGTCCACCATTGCATGAGTAGGCTTCCCGTTGAGGCTTACCTCCACGTACATCAAGCCTTTGTCATTTTGGATAGATGTGGCATGCTTCGATTTGATGGCGTTGAGTAAATGCAGGGATCCCATGTGGAGAGCTTCCTCTTTCTCCAGCTCTTCATTCATGGCATTGAAGGCTTGTCTTCTAGGACACTCCCTTGCCTAATGTGGTCCATCACATAAGACGCAGTTGGTCCTGGGCTTGAATTTGCCCTTATCTTTGGATTGATACTTAACTTTGTTTTTTCCCTCTTTGCTAGTAAAGGGTTTGTTGTGCCCCTCTTTACGTTGGAATTCCTTATCCTTGTCCCCCCCACCTTTATTATGATTATCCTTGGATGGCCTGGCCTTATTGTCTCCTTTCTTATCTATTAGGGACTCGACTATTGCCATGGCTAAGGCAAGATCTTGCACCCCACGCCGGCGCAATTCTTGCTCCGCCCATGGTTGTAGATTGTCCAAGAAGTTAAAGAGTAATTCTTCAATAGTCATACTCAAGACTTCTAACATAAGAGTAGAGAATTCATTTACATAGTCCCGAATAGATGATGTGTGTTTAAGTTTTTTCAAACTCTTTTTAGCTTGGTAGGCCACATCCTCATAATAGAATTGCTTCTTAAGTTATTTCTTAAAGTCATCCCAGATGTCTATGGTGCACGTACCTTTTTCAATGTCAGCATGCCTGCAACGCCACCATAGTGTTGCTGTATCGACAAGGTAAAGCGCTGCAGTGCGTACCTTGGCATCTTCCTCTATTACTGCCATCGCCTCGAAATATCTTTCCATGTGTCATAAGTAGTTGTCCACTTCTTTGGCATCTCTCTTTCTGTCAAAAGGCTTTGGCTTTGGCATCTCCACCTTAGACGTCCCCGGCATGGTCACAGCTCCCTCAACTATGGCCTTCATGCACATTGCCACATCTTGGTACATCTCCTTCAAGCGAGCTTCAAAGCTTGCGAGCAGCTCCAACACTTTAACTTGGAAGGAATCATTGGTAACTTGGCCATCATGCACCACGGAGTTAATGGTGGAAAGCATGTCATCATGGAGTTCTTTGATCTCCCCCTTGAGACCTTCTACCTCCTGCTCCAAGATTTGTTCCAACACATCAAGGCGTTCCCCAAATCATCCACGACAAGCTTTACCTTAGCTAGCTAAGTCTCCATGGTTGCCACAACATCACGTACATCACGTGACTTATCCTTCCTTGCTCTAGTATTGTCCCTTCCACGAGTTTGCTCAGTCACCATTGTTTCTTCAGCACCGAAAAACATATTGCCTATTCTTCTCTTGTCTCAAACTTGCTCTGATACCACGTGTCACGGCCTTGGTTGTTTCCAACCTATCCGTGCGGTACTTACACAATCTCAAACTTCACTTGATGATGTTAAATCAGCCTATCTCACTAACTTAGAAGAAAGACAAATAAGAAGAACACAAGAGAGTTCGAGAGAACGCTTTATATTCACTATAAGAAAATTTTACAACTCTTGGATGGATTGAAACAAATAAGCTCCTCTCCTATTTATAAGCTTCTTAAGAGCATTCTAGATTTCACAAGAAATTATCATGTAGAAACTTCTCATGGAAGCTTTCTTTACAAGTTACAAGAATGTTCTGAAATGCTTTAGAAATATCTATACAAGATATTTACAAGACAAGTGTCTTGAATATTTAAGAATGTTCTATAATCCTCCATGTTCTCTTCAAATGTTGAAATGAGCTAAGAAGTTCTAGATTCTTCCATTAACCTCTGTGTTCCCAAGCTCCCATGTAAGAGGTTTTTGTCGTAAGAAATTTAGCAGCTTGTGACATAACGTTAAAGAAAAAAATATTACATAATACTCAAGAAAATAAAGTAATTAGGAATAACAAAAACAATGTGTTAATAAACAAACACCATGGTGTCGTATTAAAGAGAATGATCAGATAGAGCTAATACAAGTATGATGCCATCATTTCGACTATCAAACCAATAGGGAAGCAATCAATTGACTACAAAATCTCATATTCTTTTATTATATATATAGTCAAATCATAAAAGTTCAAACAAAGTTTGAAAAAGCATGTGGGAGAAAAATAATGTTAAGTTGCAAATAAAATTTAGTCAATAAAGATTTTGAGCTAACGCTAAAATCAAAAAATATTACATAATACTCAAGAAAATATTGTAACTAAGAATAACAAAAACAATGCATAAATAAACAAACACCATGGTGGGATATTAAATAGAATGATCAGATAGAGCTAACACAAGCATGAATGATACCATCATTTCGGCTATCAAACCAATAGGGAAACCAAATCATGATCATCATCTCATTCTCAACAATCCATTAACTACAAATATTGATATAAACTCAATCCAAATTTCAAAAGCTCATATTCTCATGTTAGTATATATAGTCAAATCATAGAAGCTTAGTGACAAAGTTTAAAAAGGCATGTAGGAGAAAAATAAAGCGAATAAAATTTAGTCAATAAAGATTTTGAGCTAATGCTAAAGCCAAAAATATTACAGAATACTCAAGAAAATATAGTAATTGAGAATAACAAAAACAATGTGTAAAAAACAAACACAATGGTTCGATATTAAGGAGAACAATTAGATAGTGCTAGTACAAGTATGAAGCCATCATTTCGGCAATCAAGCCAATAGGGAAACAAAATCGTGATCATCATCTCGTCCTCAACAATCCGTTGACTACAAACACTGTTATAAACTCATTCAATATTCAAAATCTCATATTCACATATTACATAATATTAAAATAAAATAAAAAAGAGTAATTAAGAATAACAAAAATAATGTGTAAATAAACAAACACGGTGGGATATAAAAGAGAATGATCAAATAGAACTTAATACAATTATTATGCCATCATTTCGGCAATCAACCCAATGGGGAAAGAAAATCATGAATCATGATCATCATCTTAATCTCTCCAATCCGTTAACAAAAATTATTGATAAACTAGTTCAAAATTCAAAAGTCCATATTCTCATGTCATTATTTATCATAGAAGCTAAATGACAGATGGAAAATCCATGTGGTAGAAAAATAACATAAGTGGCAATTAAAATTTAGTCAACAATAATTTAGTACTAACGTAAGCCAAAAATAGTACATAATATGCCCAAAAAAAAAAAAGAAGGGAGTAAATTAAGAATAACAAAAACAATGAAACACAATGGTTGAATATTAAAGAGAATGATCAGATAAACCTAATACCAGTATGATGCCATCATTTCGGCGATCAAACCAATAGGGAAACAAAATCATGATCATCACCTCGTAACTACAAATATTGATATAAAATCATTCAACATTCAAAAGCTTACATTCTCATTTTATTATATATAGTCAAATCATAGAAGATTAATGACCGAGTTTAAAAAGGCATGTGAGAGGAAAATAATGTAAAGTCACAAACAAAATTTAGTCAATAAAGATTTTGAGCTTCCGCTAAAGCCAAAAATATTACATGCTACTCAAGAAAATATAGTAATTAAGAATAACAAAAACAATGTGTAAATAAACAAACACAAAGATTGGAAATTAAAGAGAACGCTCAGATAGAGCAACAAGAAGTATGAAGCCATCATTTTGGCAATCAAACCAATAGGGAAACACAATCACGATCATCATCTTGTTCTCAACAATCCGTTAACTACAAATATTGTTATAAACTCATTCAATATTCAAAATCTCATATTCACATGTTACATAATATTAAAAAAAAAAAAAGAGTAATTAAGAATAACAAAAATAACATGTAAATAAACAAACACGGTGGGATATAAAAGAGAATGATCAAATAGAGCTAATACAATTATGATGCCATCATTTTGGCAATCAACCCAATAGGGAAACAAAATCATGAATCATGATCATCATCTCAACCTCTCCAATCCGTTGACCAAAATTATTGACATAAATTAGTTTAAAATTCAAAAGTTCATATTGTCATGTCATTATTTATATTCAAATCATAGAAGCTAAATGACAGTCTGAAAACCCATGTGGGAGAAAAATAATGTAAGTGGCGATCAAAATTTAGTCAACAAAGATTTTGTACTAATGTAAGCTAAAATACTACATAATACGCAAGAAAATTAGTAAATTAAGAATAATAGAAACAATGAAACACAATCGTGGAATATTAAAGAGAACGATCAGATAGAGCTAATACAAGTATGATACCATCATTTCGGCAATCAAACCAATAGGGAAACAAAATCATGATCATCATCTCGTTCTCAACAATCTGTTAACTACAAATATTGATATAAACTCATTCAACATTCAAAAGCTTATATTCTCATTTTATTATATATAGTCAAATCACAGAAGATTAATGACCAAGTTTGAAAAGGTATGTGAGAGAAAAATAATATAAGACAGAGAAAAAAAAGTAAACAAATGATCCTTGCAAAAATGACAAATCTCCATCGACAATGAAAGGTCTTCTAGCTAACAATGACTAAAGGACCATTTACATTGACAACAAAAAAATCTTGCACAAATTTTGAGCTCAACAGGCCTCGATTACAATGATCCTGAAAAGCCTTCAATATGCGCTACTACAATGAAACATTGATTCAATAAATAGTAGTTGGTTTGAAAAACAAAACACTATTTTCTAAAGCAAACAAGGTTGAGAGATAACATGCAGGCAAAACCCTTGTTAACTCCCAATTGAAGAAAATCCAAAATAAAACAATAACTAACAAAAGCATGAAAAGAACAATCAAAAAGTGCTAAAACATACAAATTTCCATTTACATTGCCAACAAAAAAATATTGCATAAATTTTGAGCTCAATAGGCCTTCATTACAATGATCCTGACAAGCCTTCAATATGCTCTGACATTTGGACAATTGTATTAACTCGACATAACAAAGAAAAAATGCACTGAAACAACTAGATTCGATAAATCTTAATTGGTTTGGATAACAATACACTATTTTTCTAAAGCAAGCAAGGTTGAGAGTGAACACTTGCTAACTCCCAATTGAAGAAAATAAAAAGTAACACTAATACAGCTAATAGAAGCATGAAAAGAACAATCAAATAGCACTAATACATACAAATTTGGCATCACCACTGTTACCAAACCAATATTAGATCAACAGCACACCTCACATCATTCTCCAACTACTGAGAATGCGCGATTAACGCTTAAGAAACCTTTGAAGAAATGTCAAACAAGCAGCAAGGCAATTGCATTTAGCATAAGAATTTCTGGAAATTCTGGGTAGTCAGCAATGCGTGCTACTACATAGAGCATTGGGTTCCTTGCATTTTGACAAAACCACAAAACACAAAACACAAAGTTCAAGCTGATTACTAAATATAAAATTTGAAAAACAAAAAAAAATAGCATTGAATAGACATACAAACAAAGAAAATTTGAAAAACATAAATAGAGCACAGCAAACCAACTGGGTATGCACCAGAAACTAGAAAATAATTACTAACAAAAACAAGTAATCACAACACCTAATGAAACAAAAATATATCTAAACTTGAGAATAACCCAAGTGGTTGTTCCTCTAGACAAATAAAGGAAGGCTTGGAGGACGAGCTTATGGAGTCGAGCACCCATTCAGATAATACAACTTGCTAGCCTGCTAGCATGTGCCAAGAGCAAAAAAAAACATATCTACTTGCAACAAAAACAAAAAAAAATCCAAGAAAACAGCAAAAAAATATAATCAAGCTAACAAAATCACTGAAGAACTGTTTTTTTTTAAATGAAGAGAATGATCAGATAGAGCTAATACATAACCATCATCCCAGTGATCAAACCAGTAAGAAAACAAATGAAATCATCACGCCATCCTCTCCAGCAACTTTTTTAAAAATAAAATCTGGAACTTTGTGTAAATGTTAAAATGCACAAAATAATAGTTTGGGTTTTCGTAGTACAATTCCTAACAATTACAATTTAGCCAATAAAGATTCTGTAATAATGCTAAAGCCAAAAATAATACATGTGCTCACTTGCATGAGTGCATGTGTCTATATAAAGAGAAATAGAGAGATACAAAAAAATAGTGAAAGGATCAGAATGAAATTTTGATCAATGCAGGAAACACGATGGCAGTTAAGATGTGTTAAAAGAATGGGGATGTAGTGTTGGGAGAAGTCTAGGTTAGCACTCAATAGTAGAATGCAACCCACGCCTTTTCTTTCGACCCATCACCATGCCTAAGCATGGTATAATTGCTTTAGAAGAGGTTGCGAACGTCACAGTGTAACAACTCATACACAGACTAGGGCCCTCTTCTTTCTTCCCACATTAGTCTCAACACTACCACCACCATATCCTTCTTGCTCAGACCTTTTACTTTTTCAGCATCATCTCCGTTTTCACTTTAAGGAATATGAAAATTAAAATAAAAATATTAAAGAAAATAAAAGACACCAACTTTCATTGAGACATAAAACCAATACAAAGGGCTTTTATTACAAATAGAATAACTATATCATATCTTGATAAAACAAGAAGAATAAAGGGGTTCACACAAATAAGAATAAAATGCACCCATTACTCTCATATAATGTAGAAGAAATATTAACCATCCACAAAAATACCTTGGCCATCTGATTTTGTGAGAATATATTTGACTCCACAATAACAGATCAAGGACTCTATGTGAAGTATTAACACCTGCACACAACTAATAACACAGTGAAGAAACCTAAATCAATTACAGTTTTCCAATACCAACAGATCTACAAGGGGCATTGGATTCAGTTAGAAAGAAACAAAAATTAACCCAATTGCCACCCAAATATCAAACCCTTACTAATAAACACGAACCAACAAATTGACAATATTATTGTCTGAAACCCAAACACAGAGTTGCTTTTAGTCAAATTAAGAATGACGATCAAGTAAAGGCCACTCAAATTAGATATGTTAAAAATATCAAATTTAAATTTTTTTTATTTGTAATAGTTGATCTATTCCTTCTTTCATTTTTTAGCAATGTTCAGGCCCCTAGTTCCTTTTTAGTCCTTTGGCTTTCTCACCTTGCATAATGGGTATGCCCCTCTATATTCATGTGCAGTTTGCTTTCCTTCTTGAAATTCACTTTTTACCAAAAAATAAAGCACTGAATCTAGTGTTCACTATTAAAACTAACTTGAAACAAACATAAATTTTCATTGTTCATCAGTTAAGATTCAAAACCTGATAACACTAATTACTTAGTCATTTCCACAATAAACTCAATCAGAAACTAAATCTAAGCAGTGTTCACTAGACAAGTGAATAAATGGGCAAGCTAAACAGGGGGGAAAAGCCACAAAGTAAAGGGTTACAAATCTGAATTATATGGTTCTCAATGTTTTGAAATCCAGACCATTCAATAAACCATAAATATACACTTCGAACAGCCATTATATTCGAAATTCAAATCACAATACCAATGTTTTGATATCCAGATCATTCAATAAACCATATATATACACTTCGAATAGCCATTATATTCGAAATTCAAATCACAATACCTGAAAACTTCAAGAACGATCATCACGTTCAATCCGATATGTTAAACGAATTGCTTCCGCAGAAGAGGAATCAGACGATTTGCTTCTGAAGATCTGGAAGAGAACACAGGTAAATTAAATAACACAAATGGACGCGACAACTCCATACGATCTCTATTCGAAGCGAACATAGTATACGCAAATGTATAGTTCAGATCTGAGTTTAAACAAGTCTCTGAAACATTGCGAGACTTTATATATTCATTCAATTCACTTTTACATTATACATATACATATATATATATATATATATATTGAATAGCAATTGTATTCGAAATTCAAATCACAGTACCTGAAAACTCCAAGAACGATCACGTTGAGAGAGAGAGAGAGAGAGAGAGAGAGGCTAGTATACATATATGTGTACATGTTTTGTGCCTCAAATGTATGAATAATCTGACCCAAAAAACAAAAAACAAAAAAAAAAACACTAGATTTTGAAACAGATACAAGTGATTACACGGCCATGTCGATGAATATATGGCGAGAATAGGGAGAGAGCTTCGTCTTCGATTGCGAGATTCTCCGTGATGAGCGGCTGTATAAGACTAGGGTTTTGGAGATGAAGAGCGTATGGGTTTGTTGGGAGTGTTTTGGAGCTGGGGCTTACCCACGTTTGGCAATAAAAAGAAAAGAAAGGATTAGTTAAGTTACAAAAGAAAAGAAAAGAAGAGATACGATTGTCATTTTTTTTTTTTTCTTGTTTGGATAAAAAAAAATAAAAGAAAAAAAAAATTGTGATTTTTTTTATTTTTGTTTAGTTAGATTTCATTAAGAGAAAAGAAAGAAAAAGAAATTATTTTATATTATATTATCAAAATAATCTTTTATATTTTCAATCATTTTATTTCTTTTATTTTTATAAGGATAAAATTGGTATTATGAAAATAGTGGTTTCTTTTCTCTCTCAATCTCTCCACTTTTGAAAAGATTGAAAATGAGACTTATAAAATAAATGAGTTTCTCTTTATTTCTTCTCATTTCTCTCCACTTAAGTTATTCAAATAAATAAAAAAAATACATAGCATTCTATTTCTTTTCTTTACTCCCCAAATCACTCAATCCAAACATAGCATTATTTATATGGACCTTAGTAGTCTAAAATTTACACCCAATTTTCAAGTATGTACAATGACCTGGCAATATCTCTCATATTCTCAATCATTAGTTAATTACATTATTTACATATTATTATGGGCCAATTTGAAAATTTGGTAAAAAATTAATTTTTTGATTTTTTTACTAAGTTCTTCTAAAAAAGTCACAAAAAATTCACTAAAAAAGTCATTTTTTTTGCTAAAAAAGTCACCAAAAAATTAAAAAGTCAAAAAGTCAAAGTTTTACCAATTTCTCAATCTAAGAAATAAGTCTAAAAAATAAACCTATATAGCATTTTCCTATTTATGTATAGTTCTCATTTGACAAGTTAATATTTTAGCCTAAAAATTAAAAAATCATTAAAAAGTTGAAAAATCTCTTTTCTCTTTATTTTTTGTACATCTTTTGATAAAAAAAAATTAAAAAAATCATTCAAAACAGATTCACTTTGCTTGGTTTGGGTTTTCTAAAAACACTTTTAAGAAAATTTTACTTTTTTGTTTTTCGTATTTTTTTTTACTGAATTTTTTTAATATTTTAAGGGTTCGTTTGGAATGTGGGTTGGCTTTTTGACTTTTTTTATTATTTTAGTATGGAGCTAAGTAACCTAGTTTGGGATAGGCTATTTGACTTTTTTAACTTTTGTGGAAAAAAAAATAAAATGATTATTTTTTAAATGTGACATTTTGTCTTATTGACTTTTTAGCGTATGTTGTCTTTTTGTGACTAAAATGGCATGTCAAATGAAGCTTAAGCAATTTTTTTAATTTTTAGGCACACTTAACATAAGTACACTTAAAAAGTATAATTTTCGTAAAAAAAAAAATTTAAAATTCACTAAATACCAAAAATACAAAAAAAAATTAATATATTTTTTGTATTTTTGTGTATTTATTAATTTTTTGAAATATTTTTTCGCAAATATTTTACTTTTTAGATACATCAAAGTGAGGTGCATCCAAAAAAGTAAAAAAATGTTAAAATTTAAAAAATATTTACTAAAAACAAAAAAACATAAAAAACAAAAAATTCAGTTTTCAAAAAATTGAAATTAAACACACTGATTAAATTTTTTTTACCTCATATTTTAACAAAAAAATTAAAAAAATTACTAAAATAGTTTATTCTCAAACGAGACATTGATAGTGTGAGCCAGGTTAAAATATAAATTTTAATTTTAGATTCATGATATATGTTTTTTTATTCTTTAAGTAATAAAAGTATTTTTTAATAAGTTAAGTGAATGTTCTTAGATTCAATTCTTATACTCTTCTTTTAATTACTATTACTATTTTTTATTTTTTATTTTTTTATAGAGAAATTGACACTTAGCGTAAGAAGAGAATGTCACTTGATAAAAGAAAATTTTTTTTTTTTTTTTCTTTTTAGATAGAGAAACTGACACTTAATGTAAGAAGAGAATGTCACTTGATAAAATAAAACTTTTTTATTTTTTCTTTTTAGATAGAAAAATTGACACTTAGAATAAGAAGGGAATGTCACTTGATAAAAAAAATATTTTTTATTTTTTCAATGGAGAAATTGATACTTAACGCAATGAGAGAATGTCACTTAATAAAAAAAAAGAAAAAAAAAATTATAGATACCAAGTGAGGTGCTTACTTTTAATAATGGTATAAATATTGAGATTTAATGGCATACATATTTTGGAAACATAGCGAGGAGCCAATTTTTGACTTTTAAACTATTTTAAGTCACATTATCTATTTAATTTTTTACATATTTTTTTTAAAAAAAAATAAAAAAATCAATTTTTCAAAATAATCCATAATTATGAAAACATTATCGTACAAACCGCCTTTCTGGACTGGGCCAAATGATATTTTTTAAAGCCGTTTATAAAATAGAATTATTAATGGGCTTGAAGTTAGCCCAACTAATTAACTGACCACTTTAGCACTAGGCGATCCTATTTATATCTAAATAGAAACTCAAGGATTATTTGTGATGTTCTGAATAAGTATACTTTTTAAATTTTTATAAAATATGAGTTGGGTATGGGTTGGGTTTAAAATGATGTGGTAGAAAGGTAATGATGATGTGACTTAAATAGAATAATGACTTTTTGATTTTTTTTAAGGAATGATAAACAAGACCTCAGTATGTCAACTAAAATTTTAAAATTTTGTTTTTATTATATCGTAATATAAATTTACTAATAAGAATAATATACATTAAATTTTAAAATAAAATATTATTATTTTTCTCATATACACTCTAATTACTTGTGCATATTCTTCATATTCAAGTTTCTTTATATTCTTTCTCAAGTTTCAATTATTTTATTTTCAATTTTTTCCTCACTCCAAAACTTTAATTCACCCCACTAAAACTCACAATTATCATTAATATAATTATTTTTTATTGTGTTATTACTTGCGAATAAAACAAAATTTAAATAAAATTAAAAAATAGATGATAATAAAACCGCTAGTAAATAATTGATAGTCATTATACCAATTCAAAGAACAATAAGAAGAAGAAAAAGAAATAAAAATAAAAACACAAAAGAGAGAGAGAGAGAGAGAGAGAGAGAGAGAGAGAGAGATATTAATAAACGAAGAGTTTCTAACCCCAATGGTGTTCTCTATCACATTCTCTACGATTTCAAACACTCAAAGATGACATGTTCTAAAGATTCACATGCTGCAAAATATCTCGAGCATCTAATATCAATCATGATGCCCCTTTTTTCCCGGTTACAAAGGATTGGAAGAATATTGTGAAGACATTTTCAAATGAAAGTCCCCCACTAAGGTGGTATTGTCCACAGTTCATTCTAGTCTTTCAGAAATAAAAATAAAAACACAAGAGAAAAAGAGAGAGAGAGATTAATAACCGAAGAGTTTCTAATCCCAATGGTATTCTCCCTCACATTCCCTGCGATTTCAAAAACTCAAAGATGACATGTTCTAAAGATTCACTTGCTGCAAAACATCCTAGGCATCTGATATCAATCATGATGCCTTTTTTCCCAGGTTGCAAAGGATTGGAAGAATATTGTGAAAACTTTCAAATGAAAGTCCCCACTTAGGTGGTATTGTCCACAATTTGTCCTAGTCTTCCATTGTCAATTTTAAAGTAATGTAATTTAGGATTTTTGATTTTTTATTATTTGATTGTATTTTGAAGGGCAATTTGTTTTGGGGGGGGAATTATAACCTTAAATAATTTAATAAATAGTATTGAGAAATTAGGTATATGAATTATTTTTTGATTGCAAATAGAATCCCCCTTTAGCATCTCGTTTGGCAAGTGACTTTTTTAGCTAAAAAAATCAAAAAGTCACTAAAAAAATCAAAAAGTCAACAACCTATACAAAAAAGTCAAAGATTCCATTTTTTTTCTATTTTTTGCATATATTTTCGTAAAAAACTAAGTCATCCTAAACATATTAGTTTTTTTATATCATATTTTAGCCAAAAAGTCAAAAAATTACTAAAAAAACATGTTCCTAAATGAGGCCATGTTTAGTTTTCAATGCTCAAAAACTATTTTTGAGATTTATATTTTTTTTTTTAGATGTACTTATCTAAATGTACTTAAAAATAAAAATATTTGTGAAAAAATCTGAATAAATTTCAATAAAGATGAAAATAAACAATGAAATTTTAAAAAACCCAAAAAAAATTAAATTAAATTAAAAACTAAACTAAACTAGAGGGCTTTATAAATTTGACTTAATCGTACTGCTTTCTGTTTTGATAATACAAACAAAAAAATTAGTGCAAGTGATACGTAAACACAGATAATTAAAGATAAAATATAATTTTTTTTTATAATTTCCTGATAATTTTGTAGAATTCAATATCCTGTTTGATAGGAGACACAATTTTGCTTAATTAATAAATAAATAAATAATCGACTGTGCACAAATTCATACTGACGTGTATAAGCCCATAAAGGCCATGAATCACTATAAACAATCCAACCCCATCATTTGGAGCCCAATACATAACCCAGCTGGTAAGGTCCAGGACAGCTGGAATCCAACATGGTATAAAGAGCCAATGACACTCAGACACATGGCAGGTGAAGAACGAGTCACATCAGCAGACAAAGATCTGCAAAGTTATTGCCACTGCACATCACCATTAATGCAGCACATCACAGCATTTATTACGACAATACCTCTCCGTCAAAACAGGACCCCCTTACCCTGAACAAGGTAAGCTACAGCATAGACTTTCGGCGATGAGGGCAGGTCGGAAGGGACAACGAAATGATTACTAAAAGATATAAACAAACGTTGAAGACAAGAAGAATGTTAAGCTTTTCTATCTCTAATCTCTCCTTCTGCATTCTACTTCTCTTCCTAACTTGCTCGTCGGAGGGTTCACTGGGGGACTACCCAGTTCCCCGTTGAACTTGTTTGCAGGTTATCCGGTGGGCTTGATCATTTGGACGTGGGCTTGAGGGGCTTGGACCAATCCGATCCATTCACTGGAACAAACTGTATCATCAATTGGCGTCGTCTGTGGGAAAGACTTTGCTCTGCGCGCCAGTTGTGCTC